ATGATCTCTGGTCTTTAAAGTTACCCCTTTCAGGTTTGGAAGTTGCTTAGTAAATAAACTCCCTCCCCAGCAGAAACAAACCCAAACATTCTAAAATTTTTATTTCCTCTGAATAGAGTCATAAGTGATTTTCTTAAAATTGAGCTTAATCCTGGGCCCGGCGCGATGGCGCAGTGGTTAAGGTCCTCGCCTTGCACGCCCGGGATCCCATATGGGTGCCGGTTCTCATCCCAGCAGCCCCGCTTCCCATCCAGCTCCCTGCTTGTGGCCTGGGAAAGCAGTCGAGGACGGCCCAAAGCTTTGGGACCCTGCACCCGCGTGGGAGACCCGGAAGAGGCTCCTGGCTTCGGATTGGCATAGCATTGACCATTGCGCTCACTTGGGGAGTGAATCATCGGACAGAAGATCTTCCTCTTTGTCTCTCCTCTCTGTATATCTGCCTTTACAATAAAAAAAAATAATAATAATAAATCTTTTTTTAAAAAAATTGAGCTTAATCCTAAGCCTTTATTTATTTTTTTTTTTTAAAGATTTATTTTTATTATTTTTCATTGGAAAGGCGGATATACAGAGAGGAGAGACAGAGAGGAAGATCTTCCATCCGATGATTCACTCCCCAAGTGAGCGCAACGGGCCGATACTATGCCGATCCGAAGCCAGGAGCCTCTTCCGGGTCTCCCACGCGGGTGCAGGGTCCCAAAGCTTTGGGCCGTCCTCGACTGCCTTCCCGGGCCACAGGCAGGGAGCTGGAAGGGAAGCGGGGCTGCCGGGATTAGAACCGGCGCCCATATGGGATCCCGGGCGTGCAAGGCGAGGACTTAACCACTTGCGCCACCGCGCCGGGCCCTAAGCCTTTATTTTTATTTTTTTAATTTGTTTGAAAATAAGAGTTGCATCTGCTGGCTCAATCCCCGATGACCTCGATGGCCAGGGCTGAGCAGGCCAAAGCCAGCAGCAGGAGCTCCTTGCAGGTCTCCCACGTGGCACCACAGCAAAGGTTCAGGAAGTGACAGATTAAGTCTCAGATCTACACTTCCTCTTCTTTTTTTAATCTATTTTTTATTGCAAAGTCAGATATACAGAGAGGAGGAAAGACAGATCAGACACAGGCAGGGAGTTGGATGGGAAGCGGGGCTGCCAGGATTAGAACAGGCACCCATATGGGATCCCAGCGCATTCAAGGCAAGAACTTTAACCACTATACTATCGTGCCAGGCCCCTCAGATCTACACTTTTAAAAAACATCTCCTTCTGTCAGGAAACTTCGGGGCCCTTACTAGTTGAACATTTGTCAACTGCTGTAGGAACTTCATTAGCTTGCAAGGAACAAGATGACAGCAGTGGCACTGGGAGGCAGAAGGCAGAGCTTTATCAACGAGAGGTTTCCTCGGAGACACGAGGCAGGAGTATTATTGGGCTGCTGGGAACAGTAGGACGGAAGGAATGGGGTTCACTCAGCCACACTGAGCTCATAGGGAGGCGTTGCTCTGCTCCTCAGCAACCCGACAGGGTCCCCAGCGGGAAAGACTAACTTGCCAGTCTCACTCAGTTACAAAAATGATTTTCTATTAGAATCCTAAAATCAATCAGGCTGCATTTTCATCCATGGTCAAAACACCAGCATCTGCAATTCACTAAATGCAAACAATCTTTACAAAACATTCCAGACAGGAAAGGCTTAAAGCCAAGTTTTTAGAGAATAACTGAGGAATAGGACTTAGAGGCTGCCCCTAGCAATGGGGGCGGGAGGTGAGGCAATGCTCAAATGACTGCAAGACAAGCCAGAAGAGATCTCTCTCTCCTACAGACCGGAGGAACTTTGAGAAGAGGCCAAGCCATGTTTGGAGCACACTGGGTGGAGGTGAGGACTAAAATTAAATAGCATGTCCTGAGCGCCTTGGTCAAGCACAGATGGAATCCTTGCAGTCCGGCCACTCAGCGAGTGGACTGTTGTCTCCTGCAGATCCATACACTGAAGCCTGGGGTGGCCCACAGCCACATGTGAAGGTAGAGCCAGGTCCCACCTCTGGCTGCTCTGCTCTCCCCCTGAACAAAACGGCCTTTGCCATCCACCCAGGAACTGGCAGGTGCAGTCCCAGAATTCGATCAGCTAATTCAGCTACACAGCTGTTCTTCCCTAGTGCTCCATACACATACGTGACTGCCCGGGCTGGAACCCCATTGGCTACCGTGCACACTGATTAGCTGATGGCTTCTTTCAGCCCGTTTCTGTCTCCTCTCTCCCTTCCCTTTACAAAAACAAAACAAAACAAAAAAACCCTCAAGCCATGAGCAACCTGAAAGCAAGAACCAAGTTGGACATGAGGCTGTGTCCCGAGCAAGCTGAGCACTTGCAAGTGCCATGCTCCTGCTTTCATTCAGCTGTTCTCTATCTAATGCTCGAAAGATGTGCCAAAGCATTGCCTTAAGTTCCTTCACCGTAATAAGCATCGGATGAAAAAAGAGGAAGCTTTCATCACACTAGCATGAAAGCCACCTGTAGATTAGTTGTAATGAGTGATGTGAGGACCCTCACTTATCAAAATGGGCTCCTCTTCAAACAAGATAACAGCTTCAGATGGCCTTCTCTTCTTCCTCCCTGATCAGCATTCATTTACCAAGCACCTACTGAGGCCCTGTGAGGTCAGCAGACACAGAAGACCTGGACCAGGGAGGAGCCTGCTTTCAGTAATCAATCAAAGAAGGAAGCAAGATGCACAGGTCAAAAGGTCTCAGGTAACATACATGACATGTGATTGCTAGAATATTCTGGGAAATCAGAGATTCAAGCTTTTCCCTAAGATCTGTCGTTTGACAGATACAGGTACAGTACAGGTGAGACATCATATGATGTGTGTGTGTGTGAAGGAGCTAAGAGAGGGAGCTCAAAGCAGACAGCACAGATGGTAGAGGCAAGCTAGAGGAAGAGACCAAAATGTGTTTAGGGGAGAGGAAGATGTCACGCTGAGAGCTAAGGAAGCAGAAGGAGGGAAAGGAAGGGTGTGAGACCCTGACTGAGAGCCCGGCAGGGCAGCCTGGACTTTGAACTGGGAACCACTTCATCAAGCAGCAGACATGGTTCATCATCTGCCCTGTGGTGGGAATCATGATCGACGAAGGACCACAAGGCATGGTCCCTTGCTCTTGCCACCTAATTCAGGAGCCTGACTTTTTGGAAGGGTCATTTGAACGCAAAGGATTTGTTAAGGGCAAAGCAAAACTGACCCAAAAGACAAAACTCTTGAAAAAGAGTCTTTTGGTCACTTACGTGTTGTGTGATAAACTATGTAAAGTTAATGACTGAAAACAATCCTTGACTTGTTGTCGCCTGGGTCAGACCTGGTAGAGCCAGCCCGAATCTGTTTAGGTGCAGGTGTCCACTGCAGCAGCTGAGATGCCTGGAACCTGGCTGGAAGGGCCCATGGCATCAGAGCCTCTGACTCGGTGGTGGGTTGAGTTCCTCCTTCATCCTCATGGTGGCAGCCTCTGACATTCCCCTTCATTCCTGGCAGTTCCCCTTCTGGTGCCAGCTGGCATTTCCCAGAGTGCAAAAAGAGAAAGCTGGTAGAGTGGCCCTTCTGCCAGCTTGTAATGGGTGGAGTAGGTCATGACCCTAACCCAGATCCAAGCGGAGGAGGAGGGGACATGCGGGTGGGACTGCCAGGAGGCTGAAGTCCCTGGAGGCCTCCCAAGTAGGAGGATGCCACAGGAGCTGGATGCCAAATGACCCTACAGCACCTCCCATGACATCACCAATACAGGACTTTCACTGCTCCTGCAGAGCAGTGATCCCCACCCACCTCACTCTATCCTGCCTTTTCCACTACCAGCAAAGCACAGTCACTTGGCAAGCTATCCACTGATCGCCTAACGGGTCTGCATCAGATTACAAGTGACTCTTGCAACATGGTTTTGGACAGGCCAGCATCCAGTCACCGCTCACACCCAGCTCACCCATTCCGAGCCTGTATCACTGCTCAGAGGCTCCGTCTGTCATGTGTTCTCGATTCCAAACAGGAAGACACCCACCCCCACCCTCTCCCTGGACATTCCTCATCCCTTCACCTTGGTCTATGGCTTCGTTTCAGGGAGCTGGGAAAGAACATTTGAGTTTCTGGTTCACAGATGCAGCTAAGGTCCCTATGCAGCCTGCAGGACCCCCATGGGCTGTGATCTTCCTGTGTTCTCCAGAGACAGCCTGCAATGGGGCGGGGGGGGGGGGGTTGCCCTTAGAATGTTCTTACTCCCCAGGATAGCTGCACTGTTCCTAGAGGTGCTGCAATACGAAGCCGGTGCGTGGAGCGCATGAAGCAAGCTCATACTCCAGCTCCCTGCCCTGCAGACCCATTTATTATATTGTCTCCCGACAGAGGAGATATCAGATGTTAAACTGACAAGAACAGGCACCACATTGGATCTTAGTCAAAAGGCTGAATCTCCTAGGGCAAGTGTAGATCTCTGATGGGGGAAGAAGCAGGGAACAGGAAGATTTTCCTTGAGACCCTTTGTGAGAGCAATATCACCCCCTCCTCAGAGAACCAGGATTAGTCATCCCCCAAACTGACACTTGTACTAAGTAAAAAGTGGTTAATGAAAAACAGATGATTAAAGTACATAAACAAATTTGTAAAAATACATACTTAAATGACACATCATGCTAGTTGAGTTTAATAGAAAAGTAGAAGCTAAGGAGTTTTGCTTGTCTCATTTTATTTCTTGCATTTCTGGGTTTTTTAAAGGCTTATTTATTATTATTACAAAGTCAGATATACAGAGAGGAGGACAGACAGAGAGGAAGATCTTCCGTCTGATGATTCACTCCCCAAGTGAACACAATGGCCAGAGCTGAGCCAATCTGAAGCCAGGAGCCTCTTCCGGGTCTCTCACATGGGTACAGGGTTCCAAAGCATTGGGCCGTCCTCAGGCCACAAGCAGGAAGCTGGATGGGAAGTGTGGCTGCCGGGATTAGAGCTGGCACCCATATGGGATCCCGGCGCATTCAAGGTGAGGACATTAGCCGCTAGGCCACCGTGCCAGGTCCTATTTCTTGCATTTCTAACCATCCATCAGTGCAGGCTTCAGAAATCAGATCACACAGATTTAAACGTTAGCTCCACCCTTAATCAAGTTATCTTGGCCAAGTTGCTTTAGTTTCCCTGGGCTCCAGTTTTCTCATCTTTAAAATGAAGACAATGACAGTATCTATCTAATAGGCTGTTATATTAAAGAATACTTGCAAAAATCACTTAGTACCTGATAAATTGTAAACACTCAGTAAATGTAACATCAACTATTGCTTAAGTTAGGATCAGCCTCAGGATTGTCAGCCATGCTTTATAGATACCTGCTCTCTTTATTAATTCTTACTTAGGATCATCTCAGAAGCAATGACTACTGAAGGTTATAGAAGGCTAAAGATGCCCTTCTAAGTCAGCTTCTTGGCATCTTGACCAACTCGAAAGAAATCTTGACAAGAAAAGGCATCACTAGCAATTAGCAAAATGGTAATAAAAAAGATGACTTTAAGTTATTTGGAGGCTATTTTCCCATGCCTCGGAAATTAACTATTACAATCATGTAATGGCTTAAAGATAAGAGCTTAAGGAAAATGTAAAGAGATCAATATAGACTTTGAACATTTTTGAGAAAAATGTGTTATGTTCTCATCAAATTTGGCAGCAAATGAGCCACGTGAAGGCAACTTAGGGTTTTACTGCAGATATAAGCATGTAATCCCATGGCCTCATTTCAGCCACAGACTTCTGCCTTCACATCCCCTTTGGTTGCAGGCAGAGCCGGCAGGAGAGGTGTCCAATGTGAGGAAAGGAGAACATGGGGCCCCAGCCACGCCTTCCCGCGGGGCTGTTCCCTGCTTCTCTGTGCTTACAGAATTTTGTTTGCGTAGAAGAACTGCAGGAGCTCTGGATGGTAGTGGCTCTGAAAGACAAGAGCAGAAGGACATGCGAGGGAGGTATCAGACTGGAGGGTTGGCAAGCAGAAGGGCTGCCACGTTACCCCCAGCGCTCAGCTCACTTTGCCTGACCCAGGTTGCACATCACCTCCCAGGTCTGCCATTTGCATTGCGTCACAGGTCGATTTAAATCTGCCTGAGTCACTGTAGGGGGATGATCCCCGCTGTGCCTGGCCACATTCTGTATAGCACACCAGGAGGGCAGGGGCCCCAGAGAGAATGCTCCCCCTCCGCATCTCACTCACCAGCTGTCGACAGAGCTTAAGGTTCCTTTGATCTTCCTCTCCCTGGAAGCTGAATTCCTTCTGGAGTTTCAAGTAACGAGAACAGGCTTGGAAAGTTGTTTTGCAAGCCTGACAAAGAGATAAGAGACTTCTGGAATCCCCAGGCCCAAACGTTATTCTAGAAGATTGTACCCACATCATGGTCAGGAACCACCAAAACTGTGAAAGGGCACCTAGGTCATTTGAAAACCAGAACCGGGCCCAGCAGTGTGGCCTGGAAGCTAAAGTCCTCCCACTGAAGGTGCCAGGATCCCATATGGGTGCCGGTTCTAATCCCAGCAGCTCCACTTCCCATCCAGCTCCCTGCTTGTGGCCTGAGAAAGCAGTCGAGGACGGCCCAAAGCTTTGGGACCCTGCACCCGTGTGGGAGACCCGGAAGAAGTTCCTGGCTCCTGGCTTCGGATCAGCATAGCATCAGCCATTGCGCTCACTTGGGGAGTGAATCATCAGATGGAAGATCTTCCTCTCTGTCTCTCCTCCTCTCTGTATATCTGACTTTCCAATAAATAAATAAATCTTAAAAAAAGAAAGAAAGAAAACCAGAACCTTAGAAACAGGTGCCTATAAAATGCCATAACATGGGAGCTGGTGAGCTGGGCAGTTTTACAGTTTACCACCACTCTTGTACCACCTCATCAACAGTAGCATTGGTTGGTGGGGGTGGTATTTATCCCAACAGTTAAGACCCCTCACACTGCATGATGCATGTCACATCAGGGTACCTGGCTTTGACTGCAGGCTACAACTCCTGACCCTTGGGGATGCAGCGTGATATGCTCAGGTGACTGGGTCCTTTCCACCTACGTGGGAAGCCTGGCTTGAATCCCAGCTCTTACTTAGCTCGTTTGACCCAGCCCCAGCCACTGCAGGCATTTAAAGAGCAAAGCATCAGATGTAGGTGCTCTCTCTCAACTACATCATTTAGAAACCTTACAAACCAATACTAAATTCAGTCTTTCTCCACCCCTCCCTGACCCCTGTACTCTCAAAAATGGTGAGTGGTTTGGAAGAACCCTTTGCTTCCAGCAGTTTTGACCATTTACCATGTCCTCTCCAAAGCAGGCCAGAAGGTGACCCAAGCCTTCCTCTGAGAAGCAAACAAAAGTTTCACCAGGAATTGAGAGGTGCCGGGGGACTGGAAATCTGTATACCAGGCACAGAGACAAAAGTCTCTCTGGGCAGTGGCTCAGTATCCTCATCCCGCGTTACACCTGTCCCTCTTGGGCCCCCTCATCCACTAACTGGAGCTGGTCTAGCACTGAGCAGGCAGGGACATGCAGGGGAACTACCCTTTTGGCTCTGAGAAAGAGACAACACCTGGATGAGGCACCCTTTCTAGGACTCTTCCGGACATACTGTGGGCAGAGTGGCTATGACCGCCCTGCTAGACCCCCAGGGATCTGGCCCCCCAGCTGCATGCCAGCTCCCTACACGATAAAACATATCTCACACGGTTGGCCACAGGGGGGCCGTGGTCTTACCTTGGCAACTTGGGGGTTTCTGTCCTGCAGGTGGGTCAGGAGGGAATCACGCGTCTGCTTCACCTGGCTGGTGAAAAACTTCTTCCACTTCCTCCCCGCAAAGGCAGCCAGCTGCCCAAACAAGACGAAGGCTGAATACCGCAGACCATCGTTGTCCTGTGGGGAGAAGCCAGCCTGTTCCCAAAAGGCAGCCTCGATAGAGCACAGTGGAGCCCCAGCTCTCAGTCCTCTGCACTGGGTCTGTTGCCTGTAGCCAGGAGGATGGAGCAGTGAGGGCGCAAGGGTTCAGCAGAGAGGGCTTGCCTAGGGATCACCTGTGCTACAGCAGTGTTCCTCATTTGCCATTCATTAATCAACTCTTTGAAGACAGAATTCACATGTATGGCTCACAATTCAAAACAGCCTAAAATGTTTATAAAGAGCGTTAAACGCCATCCTGCTGCTGTACACCTGCCACCGTATTTTCCTCCCCACAGATGAACAAAATGCCGTGATTTTAGTGTTTCATTGCAGGAAGTAGAGAAAACAAAGGAGAAAAGTGTATCCCGCAGCCTTGTCTGTCCCTGGTCTTTATACATATCAGCCCACAGTCGACTTGTGTGGCACTCCTGGGCTGGGCATCCACCTGGGGGCTCTTCTCCCTCCTGCCCTGCAGCAGTTCCCACTTTCTTTTCCTTTTCTTCCTCCCCTCCCCCCTCCCAATGCCATAAGTCATTTAGCCAGTCATCTGTTTATAACTCAGCATTTTTGGCCAGGTCCTCTCTCTCAATTTTGCTCTGAGCTTCTCCCATTTGCAGTGGAAACATATTTGTCTGTGCTCCCTCCCCAGCAACCTCTCAACTCTCCCTGCTGTCAGTCCAGCGGTGGATGGGTCCCTGAGCATGGATCAGTGGCCTCAGCCAGCTCTGCATCTCCAAGATCAGCGGTCAAGTCCAAGTGTCTCCTTCTCCAAGTGAGCACACAGGGGCCCAGGTCACATGGTCAGGAAGCCAGGGTGGGACTCTCCGTGCACAATTTGTATATGAAGGTGCCATGGGCCTGCCCAGCTGCAGACGAGCTGGAAGAAATGGGGTTGGAACGGACCTTGGAAGGGGAAAGGAAATTGAGTTCACTCAGCAAGGCTGAACATCTCCTTTGTTTTAAAAATGTATTTGAAAGGCTAAGCAATAGAGACTGATCTTCCATCACATGGTTCACTCCCCAGATTCCCACAACAGTTCCAGGCTTCTGCTCCCATGTGGAGCGGGCCCAGCTGGCTCTCGGGAATGGGGCTCCATGGAAAATCACATGTGGGGAGCTGTGGGAAAAGCTCCATAGGTCTTGCACAGGTGGAGGGCAGATGCAGGTCACCCGGTCACCTTTTTCACCTGCTGTCCCCAACGCCTCATATTTCAGACTACCCGATGTCCTAACACAGCTTTTGCATGGCCTATCCTGTCTTTCGGTAATGAAGAGCCGCAGTCCCAACGTTAGAGGGCCTGGCTCCACTTCCTGTCTCTGAGAGCCTTCAGCAAACTCTAACCTTTCCATGCCTCAGTTTCCTTGCCCACAAAGTTCCAAGCAGTGCCTATACCTCGCAGGATCACCATGATGATCACATGACGAAACCCCTGAAACTGGCAAAGGCTGACCATCGTCACTGTTAGTCACATGTATAGGACACCAGGGATCCTATGTCAGCACCATCAGCACTGCCGATGTCTCTCAGTAAGATCCCTCCCCTGAGCAATACGCCCCCGGGAGGCTCACTTACGTCATCCAGCAAGGTCCTGGTCTGCAGGGTGATGTCCACGAAGAAGGAGCCCAGGCCTTTCCCCTGGCTCCTGCCCAGGATGATGGTCAGGGTCTTCACGCTCTCATGGATGACTTCAGAACTCACGGGGTCGTACAGGCCATGTACCAGCAGGCTGAACACAGCTTTCCTATACTTCCTCACCTGTTCTCAGGGTTGGGGAAGCATCAGTGGCCCTGTTGTGGCTCCCCACACCCCCACATTTCAAAGCCACTCCATTTCCAATATTCCTGGTGATCCACGGCTCAGATTCCAAGCCCTTGGCTTTGCCCAGGATCAGTGGCAACAAACCTCACCCAGATACAAATGCTTCCATGAGTACATCCCCAAGAGCCCAACTCAGCCTTGGAAAGAGGAGAGAGGAAGAGCAACGTTTAGTATACAGCATGGCCCTCATTGTAAGGCTGGGCTAGGGCACTGCAGGGACGGTGGTCAACTGGGACACTCTAGGGGCTTGACAAGAGCTAGGTACCTCTGCAGTGGGCATGGAAGGACATGGAGGGAGCATCTTACAGAACAAGCACAAGGTGCTAGGAGCAGTTCGCCAAGAAACATAAGGTCCAGCTGTGTCTCAGTCCTGCCTGCCACCATTTGCCTCAGCTGCCAGAGCCAAGGGTCCCAATCCCAAGACCACCCATGCTGGGCCATTCCCTTGTACAATCCCTTCCCTGGGAACAAACTAGGATTTGTTCCTGGCCTACTGGATGCGGTGAAGTTGGCAGGATGCCACCCTGCCCCCACCTGCTTTGCTTTCAGGTGAGACAACTGAGAGAAGACAGCAGGTCAGCTGCCCTGTCATGACAGGCAGAGTGCTCCCCTGCAGCCAGCCAGCAGGGAAACAACCCTGACCCTGCAACTGAAGGACCCAGTGCCACTCACAGCCATGTGAGCCTGAACCGGAAGGAAGTCACTGTGATGGGGACACCTGGGGGACCGCAGGGGATGGGTCAAGCTCCACCTTCCTCCCCTACCTTGTCCGGTGCCTCGCAGGCCAAGGTGCCCAGGCTTCTTATGGCCATGTGGCGCTTCTTGGCACTGGGGTCCCGGGCTCTCTCGGTCAGGAGGAAAAACACGTTTTTGGGGGCTTCCTGCTTCTGCAGCCTCAATTTCCGGGAGACCTGGAGTTGGGTCACATGGTGTCCAAAGTTACCACCCTAGCTTTCAAGGGGGCATCCTGCTATCGTCTGCTCAGCTCCACCCCTCCTCCCTCCAGCGGAAGCCACCTGATTCACATAATGAACACACTGATGGAGGAAGAGGAAGGTAAGGAGTGGGGGAATAATGCAGTGCTGGCAGTGAGCTGGGCTTGGGGTACCTGCAGCAAGAGGTGCGCTCCCAGCTGTGGGGTGTCAGAAGTAGAAAAGGGACTTTAGAAGGGCTGACGTGAGCTGGGATCTTTTATAGGACGAGGTAGGCTGCTGTTCCTTCCACTGGGGCCAGGCCTGGGGCACAGGGGTTAGGACTCCTGACATGCCTGTCTTCCATATTGCAGTACCCAGGGTTCAAATCTTGGCTCTGCCCTCACTTCTGGCTTCCTGCTAACACACACCCTGGGAAGGCAGCAGAGCAGGTCCTACGTACTTAGGTCCCTGCCACACAGGTGGAAGACCCAGATGGAGTTCCTGGCTCCTGGCTTTGGCCTGGCTGAGCTCCAGCTGTGGCAGGCATGTGGCCAGCAAACCAGCAGATGGCAGCTCTCTATCAGTCCATCTCTGTCTCTCTCCCTTCCCCTCTGTCTCTGTCTTTCAAAGAAAACAAATAAATCAGTTCCTTCCAATTTTTCTGCCCTCCTTTAAGACAACACTTTGGCCTCTCTGCGTTCAGCCTGACGTGCCCATCCCCACCCTATCCTGTGGCTAACCCCAAGGGTCGCTTCTTTGTTTTGCCTTAATTTCTCAAGAGCATCTGACACCATTAGCAAAGCACAGGGTCAAACACCTGTTCCGCATCCACACCCAGGCCAGGACACTTGAATGGCATCCCCACTTCGGAATGCATGCATCTCAGTAACTACAACTAGAAAGGAAGTGCACAAACAATGCCCCTTGGGTGACACCGTGTGTCTAATGCAGAAAAACGCACTTGGCAAGGGAGGGAAGTAACAACAGACTGCTCTGCAGTGAGCGCGCCGAGCCCAGACAGACCCTGGTGCTCTCTGAGACACGATGTGTGGCAACCTGGGCCGGAGTCAGAACAAAGCAGCAAGGTCAAAGGCAGAAGCCGTCTCCCCACCCTCTTTAGTGGGGAGGGCAGGGGTCCACAAGGTCATCAACGAGACTATCTTTTTTAAGCCTTGCTGTTGTTTCTAAATATTGATTGAAATTCATTCTTTCTTTTTATTATTCAGTTAGCAGCCAGTTAAATTCTTCCCAATGTATCCTCTTGTCATCTTACACATTTTCTATGCAATGTTAAAAGAACATTTGGTCAGCGTGTGGCACAGCGTATTAAGCTGCTGTCTACCACACCGGCACCCCATGTGTGCACCAGTTCAAGTCCCAGCTGCTCTACTTCTGAACCAGGTTCCTATTAAAATCACCTGGAAAGCAGTAAAGGATGGCCCACGTGCTTGGGTCCCCACTTAGAAGACACAGATACTGGTTTTGGGATGTCCCAATCCTGGCCTATGAGAACATCTAGGGAACGAACTAGAGAAATACATCTATTTATTTTTCTATTTCTCTCTCTTTCTTTCAAATAAATACATCTTTTTAAAAAAGCTTTGTACTTAAAAAAAAAAAACCTGCCATCCTTGTTTTCAGGGACCCTCGGTGGAGCAGGTGTGACTAACTGTAGCCAGGCACACACACACATTGCAGCCACTGGGAAGGGACAAGTCCATCGCAGCGCTTGGTGTCAGACCTTGGAAAAGAAAGATCTCACTGAAGTCCTTTTCTTCTTGGACTGGAGAGAAGGGGTAGATGAGGGCAGGCCCCACATTTTCTTCTGTGTCTGGTCTGGGGAACTGAAAAAACAAAAGCATCACAGAAGTCGCAAATGCTCTCTCAACGTCTCCACAGCACAAACCCTGTCCCTCAAAGCTCCTTGTCGGGTAGGGACAGAAAGACATGGCCATCCTTACCTGCTCATCCAGGAACTTCCTCCAGATTGCCCATGAGGGGACAGGGGCCCAAGCACATGGGCCATCCTCCATTGCTTTCTCAGGCCACAAGCAGAGAGCTAGATGGCAAGTGGAGAAGCTGGGACTTGAACCAGTGCACCTATGGGATGCTGGTGCTGCAGCAAGAGGTTTAACATGCTGTATCATAATGCCAGTTCGTCTCCAGAATCTCTAGAAACTCTAAGAATGAGCCTGGCACCGTGGCCTAGCAGCAAAAGTCCTCTCCTTAAACACACCGGGATCCCATATGGGCGCCGGTTCTAATCCCAGCAGCTCCACTTCCCATCCAGCTCCCTGCTTGTGGCCTGAGAAAGCAGTCGAGGACGGCCCAATGCTTTGGGACCCTGTACCCATGTGGGAGACCTGGAGGAGGTTCCTGGCTCCTGGCTTCAGATCAGCATAGCACCGGCCGTTGCGGTCACTTGGGGAGTGAATCATCAGACAGAAGATCTTCCTCTCTGTCTCTCCTCCTCTCTGTATATCTGGCTTTGTAATGAAAATAAAATAAATCTTTTAAAAAGAAAGAAAGAAACTCTAAGAATAAGAAAAACAGAACCAGGGGTTCAGCCAGCATCACAAAGAGGGGCTCTATGTCTCTTGGGCTTGTAGCTTCTCAAAGACTTCCTTGACCCTCCAGTGCCCTTCCTGGCTGCAGCTCCCTGTCCTCCTGCCAGCGAGGTTCAGTCCACTGCACCCCCTTCCTGCCCTGTCTGCCGCAGCACTGGGTACCAGCGGAACAGGCATGTTTCAAAGACACCACCAGGGCAGGCATGGGTATCGCAGTTTAACCAACCAGCTTGTACCAGAGTCCTGGCTCTGTTAACGCAGACCCTGGGGACAGCTCTGCCGTAGTTGAGTTCCTCCCATGCATGTGGGGTACCTGGATCAGCCCCCAGCCCTCAGCTGTGGCCTGGCCCAGTCCCTGCCAGACTGGGCATCCGGGGATGACCCTCTAGATGGAAGGGCTCTCCTCTCTGCGTCTGCCTCTCAGAACTGAGACACTCACACATGCACACATGGTGGAAGAATGGACAGATTCACGTGCTAAGGTGTTCTCACTCCTTGTGCAAGCCCACTCGCCCCTATGCACCCCCATCTCCTAGCTGAGGTAGCTCTCCTTGGGCACGTTTCTGTGGTCCTCACAGGTGCCTTGCCAAGCGAGGTCAAGGCCACACAGCCACTTTTAATTCAAAGACACAGCTCTGCGTGGAGCCTTTCCCAGACCACAAGCAGGAAGCTAGCTGACAAGTGGAGGAGCCAGGACTTGAACTGGCACCCCGAGCTTGTTCCCCAGTGAGTTCTTCAGGGAAGGGCTTCCGAGGTGTGCCACAGCCAGGTCCGCTGTACCCACTGCCCCAAGGCCTGCTGCGGCTCCACCCCGTCCTGCTGCGGTAACTGGGGAGACACTTGGCATTTTATCCAGCTCCCAGTGGCCTTTGCAGGCAGGAAGCCTTCTGACTCATCATGTCGGGTTAATACTCACTAATCCTTTTACTTATTGAAACCAAGGACCAAATCTCTGTGCTCTTATCTGTAAAACAAGAGGAAGAAGCTATTGGATTCCAGGCAGTCCTCCCCCACTCACCGTGCTTCACACGGAACTTGTTGAGGACAGTAATAACGACATGAAAAGTGGCACCCAGTGCCTTCCCTCTGGCTGCCTTCACAGACACTCACGCCAGAACCCTACTGTGGGAGGCATGAGGATTACATGAGAAAGGCAGCAGGGAGACAGCCCACGAGTGGAGCCACATTCAAAGCCAAGCTCACCGCCCACCTTCCTGGTCAGGGATTCCGTAGGCTCAGAGGAAAGGCTGTGGCCGCCCCCGGCTCCACAGTCACCAGCTGCTCCTGCTAAACCCAGAGCCCAGCCTCATCTCCAAAGAAGGGCCACTTCCCTGCTCCATGTCGCTTTCTCCTCCACCTCCTGAGTCTGCTAGCCTCCCCTTAGAATAGAGGAAATCGGGACATAGAACAGTCCTGCTAAACTGCGGTCCTGGACTCAATCAGTGCAAAAGCAGGGTTCAAGGCTGCCGGCCAGATCTGCACTCCCAATCCTGGTAAATCTGTACTCCGCCCCTGGACAAAGTCCAGTAAAAGGACCATTCTCTTCCCTCGTCCCGCCCTTCCTAGCACTCTCTGGTGACAACGTCCGGGCTTCAAACTGACACTGTACCCTCAGCGGAGTTGAGCTGTAGGTGCGCAGGTGAGCCTGGCGCCCTTGCCCGAGGCTCCCGGCAGCTCACGGACGACCCCCGCGGGCGGGGCCTGGCCCGATGACTCGGCTGAGCGGTCCCCATAAGCGGGGATCAGAAGATGCACAGCGTCTGCTCAGGATTCCTGCCAGCGCGGCGTGGCTGGAAAGTGGGACTCCCGGAGAGGACATGGGAGTGGGGGCAGAGCAGGTGCACACTCACCCCCGCGCCCCTTGAGTTGCCACACTGTGCTGGGGTCTTTCGCCAGCCCCCGCCCCCTTATTTTGCTTTCTCCCTTTTCTGCCCTCCTGGGCGATCTCACCCACACTTCTCCAGGGAACTGCCACGAGATTGGCACACCCGGCCTGTGCACCTTAGTCCGGCGCTGAGGCCCTGCCCCGTACCGTTCCCCTTGTGGCCACGAGATGGCGACGTCGCTCCAGGAACTGCAAGCACTTGGCTGGGTCGCTGTGTTCCATGCCTGGCAGAGCCCATGGCCACCAGCCACTGGACATTTAACCGCTGACAACTCAGCCCGCTTAACAAACACAGTCTGCCCTGAAAGGAGCCATTTGAAGCTCTCAGCAACTTGGTTAAGACACAACAAAATTAAAATCTGAGTTTTAACAGCTCCTATAGGACTAAGTTGCCCCTTGCCTGCCAACCTGTCATTTCCCCCTGACCTAGGCTCTCTGGACGCCTGCAAGAATCTACTGATCAGTCATGATTTGTTGCCTGGCCCCATGTTGTGCAAAGTGGGGGAGATATTCTCCAAGATCTTGGAGCTTCTTGCATTTGACAACCACGCCTCTGTGCTAAGCATTGAGGCCAAGCTTACGCAGAGCGCCCCATCCAGTTCTTGGAACAAACCCCAGTGAAGCACTCTTGATTGTAAGCCCCCATCTGAAGGCTGGGGAGGTGAGGCCTGGAGACATGAGCTCTCCAGACACCATACTACGTGTTCTCAGCAGCAGGGCGGGGCACAGGCAGGCTGATGTGTACCTTGGACTCAGCCTTGGAAAACCCAGCTTGGAGACGAGCAGGCAAGCTGCAAGCAGAGCAGTGAGCAGACACCACTCCTGCTAGGAAAAGAAGGATGAGGCTAAACCCTGTGAGGGCACCCCTGTGGGCATCCAGAGAGCCCGAGAGAGGCAGTCGGCCGGCCTAGCTGGCGAGCTGTGAGGACAGAGGGGATGGAGACCCAGTGAGGGGGAAGCAATGGATGGAAGAGACAGCAGGGGCTTCGCTTTGCTCGGATGCTTTTTAAGATGGAATAAGGCCTGGGCATGTTTGACAGCAGCTGCAGGGAAGCCCCAGGAGTGAGTGATGGGCAGGAGGGAAGGCTGGGTGAGTCGGAGGAGGCGAGCGAGGCAGAGACAGGAGACAGCCACGCGAACCGGGGATGTCAACATGAAAGTGAGGGGAAGGGCACTCGGACTCAGTCCTGCCAAGTTGGCCTTCATTTTTCATCTTTATGTATTTATTTTTTAAAGATGAATTTATCTGAAATGCAGAGTGACCGAGACAGAGACAGAGAGCTCTTCCATCCTTGGTTCACTGTCTAGAGGGTTTCAACTGCCAGGGCTGGACCAGGTGAAAGCCAGGAGCCAGGAGCTTCCTCTGGGTCTCCCATGTGGGTGACTGCTGCTTTCTCGAGTGTGTGAGCTGGGAGCTGAACCAGGACAAGAACAAGCACCGATATGGGATGCTGGCATTATAGGCACCAACTTCTCACTAACCACAACTCTGGCCCCTTATTTGTTTGTTTGTCTACTTGGAGAGAGTACTTTCATCTCCTGCTTTGGTCCCCCAAATGCTGCCACACATGGGTCTGGGCCAGAAGCCGTAAACTGAATGCAGGTCTCCTACCAGGAGACAGGAACCCACTTATTTGAGTCATCACCATGGCATCCCAGGGTCTACACAAGCAGGAGGCTGGAGTCAGGAGTCGGAGCAGGGCATTGAACCCAGGCTCTCTGATACGGGTGTGGGACATGAATCTCCTAACAGGTGTCTTAACCACCAGACTAAACACCTGCCCTTGGCTTTGATTCTTTCTGCAAAACCAGAGGTGATTTCTCCAGTAAGAGAGGAAATAAGTTTGCCATGGCAGAATTCACACACCCAAGTGATGGGCATTTTGCTTAGCTGGTAGCTTACATGCAGATAGAATTATGCCAGACATAGTGGGCATTTGGGAAATGAGCCAACAGATGGAAGATCTCTCTCCTTCACTACCTTTCAAATAAATAAAACATCTTTTTTAAAAAAGGTTTTTCTTATGTGACCCTGAGTCACAGTATCATGGGGCATCAAGGGCAAGTTTCTGAGATAATGTGATCACAGCGTATTGATAACACTGAGGACAAAACAGATCGCCAGGGTGATTTCACATCATTGTTTAATGACTCACGCTCCATGAATGTTTCCTTACTGCCAGAAGCCTGCTTGGGGTGGATGTCCCCGGAAAAACCCAAGGGGACAGCATGATGGGAAGGATGCCAGGCAATGCTTAACCCACCATTAGCAACTTTCCATGCAGACCTGGGCAGTAAGGAGGAGCTCTGGTCGCCAGTGAAAACAGCCGATCTGGAGTCTCAGTATTCTTAGAACTTTCTAGGTGAATGGCATCATCGAGGAGAGGGTGTAAGCTTCCTCCTCCTCCTTCAAAAAATATTCCTGGGGCCGGCATAGTGGTGTAGGCAGATAATCCTCCATCCCGTAGTGCTGGTATCCCAACTGGGCACCAGTCCATGTCCCGAATGCTACACTTC